ATGCAAATTACACATGAACACCATTCAATACAACCGTTAACTTCAGAAGCGCAAATATTATCATATTTACTTTCTGAGGCAACAAAACTTGAAAGGCCTCCAAAAATACCAGAAAATTTACCACGCACATTATACAAAGACTTTTATCCACATAATTTGGTTATTCCAGATTTTGTGGAACAAATTCTTTCAATTACCAAACAAAATTCCGAAAATTTTCTAAAATACATCGCGTTTTACCCAGAACCAATAATAATTTTCGGTTATGATCGTTCTGTCTCAATTTGTCACTCAGCAACAAAATTATTCTTGGACGGTACCTTTAAAATCGTCCCAAGACAGTTCGATGACAAGGGTCAACTCCTTACATTAATGGTGCTTGACCAAACAACGAATGAATACATTCCTGTTGTCCACATTCTTATGAAATCTCGGACAGCAGAAGCGTATACAACCGCATTTTCCGCATTAATTTCAATAATTGGGTTCAACAATTTCAAAACTGTTTACGTAGATTTTGAAATCGCACTTTACAAATCCATTAAATTATTTTGTCCAAACGCAAAGGTTACTGGCTGCTTATTTCATTATCGCCAAGCATTAATTCGCAAAATAAAAGAATTATACCCGAAACAAGAGATACCAAAAGAGATTTTTACACTTTACCAAATTTATTCCTCATTACCTTTCGTCGAAAAAGACTCATTTTATCAAATACTTAAATTAATCGATGAGTCATCCTCAGAAATTGCAAAGCCGTTCGTAAATTACTATAAAAAAGTATGGAAGAAAGATTATGAGTTCATTAACCAATTAGATTCAGAGGATGATATCTACACAAATAATGCTCTTGACTCCTTCCATTCTTTGCTTTCGAAAGAATTAGAAAATGCCCATCCTAGCCTCGAAATAATGATTGCAATCTTAATGAAAGTCGATATACACTTGTTGGATAAACAATTACTCAGTACAAAACCAGCAAAACATCCTGTCAATTATACAAAGTCCACAGCAAATATTAAAAAAGCAATTACAAATTATTTATCCGAAACAAATCGAAATTCCAAGAAAAATCAAATCAAACTTAAAGAATTTCAACAGTCAAATCAAGTAAATGAGAATTCAATCGACTTTACACCAGAAACAGGTGAGTTAGTTAGTATCCCTATCATGGGTACGGAGGCACTGCGCGCCTCCTTACCCATTATATGTGAATTTGACACTTTACGAAACCGGTAACGTATATTTTACAACACAACCATAACACCAACTTAACCATAAATATTTACAAAACTGTCTGACACATAAACGACTTCACTAACGACTTCACTAATGAATTCACTAATGAATTCACTAAATAAAAAATAACCTTATTTTTATTTTTTTAAAATTTTTTATTTCATTACAAAGACATGTCCGACTACATTTACTATGACTCTTTCCCAGAACATTTCCGTGAACTATTCAAAACTCAAGTAAAACTGAGAAACATGCATTTTAACAAAGACAGACCCATTGACGATGAAAGAAACCCTGAATATATTACAATCCCTTATGACGCAAAGTTCATTGCATACATTCCTTATGGTCGCAGAGGAACGAAAACTATTTCAACAAAGAACAAAAATTATTTCTGGAGCGATGAAGAAAATTGCCTTATCTACATAAATGCATACTTAAATAAAGCTACATATTGTACAAAAGAAGGTTGGACTGGATTTGAGCTCTACATATACGACGACGATGGAAACAGACGTTGTGTATACCCATACGATAATATGTACCATTGTTTTCATCAAGCATTAAACGAATACATAGTCAGTAAGGGTCTCATTCCTGCTGAGTAGAAATGTTATCTCAATAGTTTTCGTCATTTATATAAAAATAAAATAAAAATAAAATAAAAAATAAACTTAAAAATAAATGATATCACCACCCTCACACGTATGAAAACATACCACAAAAAATAAATTTAGGGTAGATGGGTATATCTAACCCGATTTCTAACCTCATTTCTACCCTGTTGAATTCATTGCTTTATAACTATCTTCCTTGGTTTCTTTTTAGTTGCTTTCTTAACATCTGTCTCCAACTTGACTGTCTTTCTTCTTCGTCCGTAATGATACCAATTACTTCCACCAGTCAATGGGTCAAATGGTCGTTCATAAGGGTTTCCATACATTCCATAAGGTCCGTATGAATAAACCGCTGGTGGAAGTTGTGGAGAAGAAACATTTTCTTTAGTTCCATCGACTCTATTTAAATGCATTGTTTCACCTTTCATCTGGTCATTAAAGTCTTTTGCGTGTTTTGCAAACTCATCGTCCTTTCCTAAAGCATTTTCTGACTCAGTTGCAACCAAATTGGATGCTTTATTTATGAGCCCTATTTTATTTAATCTTAACTTCTTTGCAACCCAGCCTCCTATCTTTCCTTTATTTGCGTCTAATGTCTTCGAAACCCTTCCTCCACTCATTTTATTTACTGCGTCATAAGCTCCAAGTGCTTTTGCTCCAAATGCTAATGCTTTTGTTCCCATTGCGCCTAAAGCTGCCCAAGCTACCATTTACACCATATTAAAATCATCTCTCTTCAATATTATCTCATAAAAGTTCTCGTTACTGGAGAAAGTCAATGAAACATAAGCGTTCTCACGGGCTTCGCCCTCACCGCTTTGCGGTCTATCTAACTTATTTCTTATATCATCTATACGCTTCAAAATGTCTGAACAATTGCTAACATCTTCTACAACAATTATTTCATCATGAATGACCTTCAAAAACAAACTCATTTAATATGCTATTAAAATCATCTCAATAATGAGTCCATCCTTTCCGTCTTTGGGTAGCACAACATCTTTCATTGAAGAAGGTTCGACAAGTCTTATGTTAAACTTACTGACAAAGTTTGTTATACTATAATGCTTCGGTGGCGAATACATATAGTTTGAAAGACATAATATAGATTCTTCAGCAAATTCACTTATACTGGATTTTATAACAATGTTCTCACGAGACCAAATACCACCAATTGACAATCTTGTAAGCAATCCTGCTGAACCTTCTACTGTAAACGTCGATGGTAACATTCCACGAAGGTCATCTATTGACATCTTTGAATCACTGAATTTAAATATTTTCTTAAAGCAATCGTCATTATCTAACCATGCAATAGCTTTGAAGTTTTCATTCGAATATACATCTGCTTCATTAAATGTAAAACCTGACTTCTTTGCAGAGACGACTTTAAAATCTATTGCATTTGTTTCAAAATTATATGCTATGGTAACTTCTGAAGGTAATGGATGTCCTTCCGCAGTCAGTTGTTCTCTCACTACCCTTTGAAGCTTTGTGTTAAAAACTTTCATGTCATCTCCTGTGTCTAGGTTCACATACACAGCAACAGGAAAACTATCTTGCTTCTTTGTTTCATCATTATACCTCAAAACATTAAAGTTCTTCAATAATATTGTTCTTCCTGCTGGAATACTTCTAACTTGTCTTATTTCAATAGCTTTCTCACCTCCTACATACTCTACCCAGTGTCTTGGATATTCATAAGTATACTGACTTTCTTGAATTTTGGTAGGTTTCATCATAACGTGTTCATAGTATATCTTTATACTCTTGTCAGTTAGACTCGGTGCTATGTTCTGAATATTTCTGACTTGCATTTTTAATGGAGATAAAATGAAGCATTTAATACATGATGTAGATGAAGACATGAATGAAACTACAGACAAACTTAACTCTTCTCTTATTCTTCCTTTCAGCAAAGATTATGAATTCTGTTCAAATGGTGTGTATTTCTATTGTGGAAAGATGGGTTCAGGTAAGACATTTAACCTCATTCGTCATATACTCATAACAGAGCGTTTAGGAAATGACTCATATTATGACCAAATCATTATATCAGCAACTTCAGACTCTATGGATTCAACAGCGAAAACATTTATGTCAAAAGTTCAAGCCTCTGTCGTTAAAGTTCCAGACAGTGAACTCATTGAATTTCTTCAACGTTACATTCGACGTAAGAGGAAATATTATGCCATCGTAGAGTTCATACAGTCAGGAATGCAAAAGACTTCTGAGGAGATGGAAAGAATTATTGACAAACACCACTTACGTCAATACTCAGGAGTTTACGATATGAAACGACTTACAAACTACATTCTGTCAAAACTTTCAAAATACCCCTTCAAAAAATATCCTTCAAATACTTTGTTAGTTTGCGACGACTTCGCCGGAAAAGGTTTAGTTTCAAAGCCTGACTCACCATTAGCTAACATCATAACTAAAGTCAGACATTACCATTTAACTGTAGCAATACTTATGCAAACATGGAGGTTTTTAGCTTTAAACATAAAACGTCTCATAACTGACTTCGTTATCTTTCAAGGTTTCTCACGCTATGATATTGAACTCATTTGGAAACAGTCAGGTATAACATTACCTTTTGAAGAAATTTGGGAAGCATATAAGTCTCTCATCTCTCCTCGTTCATACCTTGAGATTCATATCATGACTAATACCATTAAAGTCAAAAATATTCCATGGGAACGACCAACATTGTTTTAAAGTTTAACCTTCAATTGACTGATGGTAAACAAATTCCATGCATCTCTGTCGCCATTTCTGTTAATATTTTTGCTGTCATTCATATCATCCACTTCCCCATCCGTTAGCTTTTGAGGATATGCGTTAGAATAGCTGTTCTTAAATGAAGGCTTTTCACCTTTGAGAGCATAAACTCTATAACTTTCTGCATACTTTATGTTTGAACCTCCTGAGCCATCATTGACATAAATTTTTATAGGCTTCCACCCTTTGTTCATGTTCCTGCTTCTTCCCTTAGCTCTTTTGTTCAGTAGTTCTACATCTTTATACACAGCTCCTGTCTCAGTGAATTCAACAATATTTTCATTCGTTAGCTTTACATTCAAACCCTTGTCGAGTATATTGTTCATTTCATACATATCAAAGGTTTTTATTCTATATGAAATGAGAAGCAAATCCATCTTAGCTGGTGCCGTTAATGTTCCAATTGAACCAACATCAAATGTTGACTCACGAACGACAAACAATATTGTCATAAAGAACTATAGTTCGGAGTGTTTGAAAGAAAAAGAACCAGATCTTAAGTCGGTGAATTTAAACACAGCTTCAAACGCTAACGCTACATCAGATGTTAAGTTAGAGTATCCACCACTGGACCAAGTTCTTTCAAGAGAAGCCAACGACAATCCTTACACAAATGTTCAAACAAATCCTTCAGATAACGTAGACCATTACCTTCTTCGGTTATATCAAACTATCTTACTCAAAGACGATAAGAAGCTTTTGACAAATCTTATAAGCAAGAACCAAATAATTCTAACAAAGGAGGACCTTGAAAATGTTATATCACGAATAACAGGAAAGCAATGTGTCATTGACTATCTCGACCCTGAAATCGAATGCTGTGGTCAAACTCCACTATTCATGAAAATAGGTAACATCCGCATCATTGAAACGCCAGGTACTCCAGGAGTTGAGTTTAAGTATAGATATTCGAACGAGTATACAAAACTATCTACTGACTATAGCTTTGTTTGAAATATGTTTTAGTAAATTAAAGCAGTCAGTCAGTCAAAAAAATTTCAAGTTAGCAATTTGTAATATCTATCCAAAACTTCTTCAACAGTATCGAACTCATCTTCATAATGCAAACCTAATCTATTGACTTGGTGCAGTTTTCACTAACACAATATTTTTCTGTTCTCTTGACTGACATAACTAACTATTTGTTTCATCAAACAGCAACAACCAAAGTTCATGACCTAATACATAAACATTCATACTTTATATTTTTAGCTCTGAGTTTTCTTGTAAGCCGTCGCATTTAATATTTTCTAAAAAGTCAACTTCAACAGTCATTCGCACTGGTGCCTTCAGTTCTACAGGCTCTCCTTGAAAGTCAACAAGTCTGAATTGCATGTCTTTCAAATTATGAGGACTAATGCGAACCCATTACCTAAATGAGTTTCTATGACAGGAACATTTGGAATGAACATTGAATTTACTTCATAACAGAAAGACTTATATTCTACTGAACCTTTACTATTAACTCCTGAAATACCTGTGACATTAGCTATTTTTGACTCAACGTACAACAATTGCCATAACATACATATGGAACAGATTTCATCTCAATCGTTTTGTCAACACTTTTCAAAGGAATGTCATATGGTATGCTCCAGAAGCAATTGAACTCTATGACTCATTCGTGTTATCTTAAACTCCTTCGCATAACTGAACTTCAATGTTCCCTCAGAAGAGAGTTCGACATCTATGTTGTCAATAGTTTCTTCATTTATGAGAGTATCTATGACTCCAGCAATTTTATCTATTCTATACCCAGCTCTGTTAGGAAATGTTATAACACTTCTTACACCATCTATTTCAATTTCTATGAAATCTGTTTCATCTGTTATGACAAAAGTTGCGATAGTATTGAAGTCAACAACTCTGAAAGCAAGTGCTTCATTCTGAAGTCCTAAGTTTGTTTGTAGCTTTACTGTCCCGTATTCGTTTGGGTCTGTACTTTGCAAATAGAACAACATTTTATTCTCATTAAAATATGACTATTGCTGCATATGCGTATGAAACAAATGAAGCAAGAAGAGCACACGAATTAATAAATGAAAACACAACATTAACCATTGAAGGCAATGATTTAGTCATTGACGATGGAAAAACTAAAAAAGTCATTGATTTCGATACTTTTAACACTTATGACCCATTCATTACAACAAGCAAGGTTCCCATCATAAATGATGGAACGGTGCAATATATAAATTCAACAGTAGATGCCTCATTAGTGAAAGTATTAAATGTTCGCATTGAATTGTTAAAGAGCTTTCGATTTGACGACAACATTAAATGCTTAAAGAATTTAGTCATGAATGAGAAACAAATTCTCGGTGTTGCTGGTAGCAGTAATGATGTACACCTTATGACATTAGAATATTATAACGAACATAAAGATGAACTGAAAGGAGAGAAGGGTGACACTGGACCTCAAGGACCACAAGGAATACAAGGACCTCAAGGCGAAAACGGTTTGGAAGGTGAAGATGGAAAGGATGGAAAAACTGCTAAATCATGGATATGGAACCTTATAAATACTGGTTTAACAACTGTTTCATATGGAGTTCTTCAATACCAAATCGGAAAGATATGGGCAGTACTTGGTGAAGAAGCTTTAGATGACGTTAAAGATGCTTTGAACTTCATTTCAAATGGTTCGGATACTATTAAAACTTTATCTGGTTGGATGCAAGAAACAAGGAGTCAAATAGATACTGTAAGACGTATAGCAAACAATGCACGTACGGATTGGATACTTTACGAGAAGCACAAAATACACTAAAGGAAGCAAATGATATTCTTGGCTCAGTATCAGACATGCATGAAGATTGGCTTAAAGGTATTGACAAATCTTTAAAAAATCACAGTCAGTCTATTGCTGACTACAAGAAAAGTATAGATTTTTTACATAGTGCTATGGACGTACATGATGGAAGCATAAGGAACTTACTTAATGCTAACAATAACTTACCAGGAACTATTAAAGCATTTATAAAGTCCTTTGTAAAACCTGTGCTCTAACATTTAGGTCTTTGAGAGCAAGAGCATTGAAATCAAGAGATGCAGAAACTCCAACAGAACTACAGAAGGAACTGAAACAACAGAAACTCCAGAAGAACCACCAAAACCAACAGCTAATGAAATATTGTTCGAATATTTTCCAAGGTACTCTGTTCTCATTGCATACATTCAAGAAATACTTAAGAAAGCAGACTTGACTTTAGGAGATGATGAAAGTTCTGTATATCTTTCGTTCCAGTTTCAAATAGCAGAACTTTTGAGACAGATATGCTTAATGTATGACAACATCTCTGATTTCACAAGATATGATGACGACCATGACCCCGAACACGGTGAAGAAGAAGTTTTACAAACATCCATTAAGACAGGAAAAGTTTTAACACAAAGTCTCATTATTGACACCGAAGATGGTGAAGTGGATGTTCTTCAAGAGCTGAAGAAAAATACTTCTGAAGGAGGTGATGGTAGGCATGAACTTGAAATAAATGAGATAGAAGAGAAATTAGCCGAAAAAGCAGATAAAAACCATGTTCATTATATAAGTTCAGATGAACAGATTATAACGGATTATCATGGATATTTAACACAAGATGAAGAAGTGAAGACGGAAGATGTTAATGAAAGAAGATATAAATTCATTCGTGCTGAAGGTTATGACATACACTGTACTGTACAGTATGACACAGGTAAAGCACCAGAAGCATTTGGTTATAACAATGAAATTTATGCTTCATACTTCTTTGTTAACGGTGTATTAGTTGAACCAAGATTTATGTTGAGAGTTAAGGCAAAAATAACGTTTGAAGATGCTATTAAAAGTAAAGCTGACAAAGATGAACTTGACGCAATGAACAAAGTTTTGAAATCTCATAAACACAATATCTCCGATATAAATGAACTTCAAGCTACATTAAATAGTAAAGCTGACAAGAACCATACACATGAATCCTTCACTACTGTTAGAGCAGACGACATAATATTGAACTATACCCTTGGTTCAAGTGCACCTTTAGAGAATCCAAGTACAAGCGTAAAAGATACTCTTAATAGTTTAAATAGTAAATGTATGAACATTGAAGGACATGTCAGAAACTTTGAAACATATGAACTACCAGCAATGTTAGATAAGAAAGCTGACAAAACTTATGTGGATGAAGAACTTGAAAAGAAAGCAAGCAGAGATGAACTTAGTTCGTATACTAGAGCAGAAGATATAGCAATAATTCAGAAAAGTATTGACAAAAAGGCTGACAAAAAACATTGGCATTATACAGTAAAAGGAGGTAAGGGAGTGCGCGTTGGTTCAGATTATTCTGAATATCTTGAAAGAACAAATGAAACTAAAGTCATTGACGGTATAACATATACACGTTTCAACAGAACTAAGACAGAAGTACATTATGAAGTTCATAGAGAAGATATTCGTGAAAGTTTTGAATGGAATGAAGAAATATGGTCAGCAACTGCAGAAATGGATATGATTTTAAATCCGGAGTTTTTCATTCAAATCGTTGAAGTTAAAAACTATGAAGATATAATGGAGGACAAAGCTGACAAAACAGAGCTTCAAACATTAAAGACTGAAATATTGCAAGTTATATATCCTGTTGGTTCTTTATATACATCAATGAACTCAACAAATCCAGCAAGTGTTTTAGGTTTTGGTACTTGGGAACAGATTGTAGACAAATTCTTATACTGTGCTAACTCTTCAAAGCAAACAGGAGGCTCAAAGAAAATTAAAGAAGCAAACTTACCTGCGCACACTCATACAGGAACTACAAACTTTTCTGGCGACCATAGCCACTCATTAAGAGACCACCCATTATACAACTCAGACTATGAAGCTGGCCATGAAGTTTTATCTCCATCTTATAACAATTCAGCAAAAAAGACTTTTCGACCAACTGAACCAGGAGGAAATCATGTCCATACTTTCACAACAAATCCACCAGGCTCGGGTGAAGATTATATGCCACCATTTATGACTGTATTCGCATGGTACCGTCTTGAATAAAATCTTTAACTTTACATAAATGAGCTTGAAAGAAGTATTCGAACAACATCCATGGAGGTCATTTAAGAAGTTCAATGAAGCAGCAAAAAGTTGGGGATTTACTAACAGAGCTGAAGTTAAAAAGTTCTTTGACAAAAATGTTGTACATCAAACAAAAATAAACCCTTACGACTACTTTTTACCACTTTACTCCAACACTCCTGACGCATACCAATTTGACACTCTCATTCAAAGCAGAAAAGGAGGACATAAACCATTCCTCATCTTCATTAATGTTAACACTCGCAAAGCATATGCATATCCAATGAGGAATAAAGGAACTCGTGAAGTGTTAAGAGTTTTACAAAAGTTTGTAGCAGAACATAACCCAAGTACTTTAACATCAGACCAAGACAGTGCATACCTCAGCAATGAAATCACAGATTTTCTCATTAAGCATAACATAACTCACTACACTACTGAAGACCATAACCATAACATACTCGGCATCATAAACCGCTTCATAAGAACGCTCAGAGATTTAAATCAAGAGCGAGACTTTACCGAAGAAACAATGAAACATTTTCTCGAAGTATATAATTCCTCAACACATTCTACAACAGGACATACACCAAATTCAATGACACAACAACAAGAAGAAAAGTATATACAAAAGAAACGAAGCCAAACACAAAATATCAGAAATTCAACACAATTTACCCTCATTCCTGGTACAAAAGTTCGTGTAGTTCTTGACGACAAACCGTTGACAAAGAAACGTTTAAGGTTAAGTCAAAATTATTATATCGTAGACTCTACGCAAGGTAATGAATATCTTATAAAAGCTGCCGACGACTCTATTGCGTTTTATCCTCGTCATAAATTAGTCGAAAGTAGTAATGGCAAACTTGCTGAAACCATTGACGAAGCAAAGCGAGAAGTGGTTATTGAAATACTTGACTATAACACAAACGATGACACTTATAAAGTAAGATATGAAGGAGGCGTTGAAGATGTTATACCATCTAAGAACTTGAGAGAGTCGAAGCCAACACATCTGGGACCATTAGAGCTGGAGTACTGGAAAGACAAAAATAAGCCAGAAAGAATAAGAAAATTCTTCTAAACTTTTTCATTAGATGTAAATCAGACAAAAATATGCCAGAAAGAATAAGAAAATTCTTCTAAACTTTTTCATTAGATGTAAATCAGACATGAATGAGAACAGTTATGATATCATTAATGGTACCATTTATTTTAACATTAAGACGCAAAGCGGCGGGGCATAGCCCATGACCAAAAAATAATGTTTAGGGTAGATGGGTATATCTAACCTCATTTCTACCCTCATTTCTACCCTCATGAATTTTCATGAATTTCCTTAAGATAGAAAAAATAAAGTTAGTTTTATTTTTATTTATTTTTTTATTTTGTATGTAAAGACAGTAATGACAACATTAGAGAACACAACAACTGCTATCGTTCATGAAGCAATTAATGAAGAATATGAATACATACAGTATAACAAACAATTGAGACTCATTCGTTCAGTCAAAGATGACATGTATCAAATGCAAAGTATAATGAATGCTCTTCGTTCTACAAAGCAATCATATCATTGGTTTGAAAACCAACAGACAAAAGAACTTTTAGAAGAATTTCCTCATATGATTGCTTCCCTCGGAAAACCGAGAGAAGAGATTCCGTACGAAAATCGCAAGAATTTGGCTCCTGGTTTGAAAGGTTATTATGTTCATAGACTTTTAGTAAACGCTGTAGCAATGTGGGCTTCACCTCGTTATGCTTGTTATATTTTCATGATGTTAGATGAACTATATAAAGCAGAACGTGGAGAGATGGAAAAGAAACTTCAAGCAAAAGATGAAGTCATTGAATCCAAAGACAAAAGCATACAGAAAAGAATACCGCGTTCAGTACCAAAAGGAAAGGAAAAGAGTTATAAGTATATGATATATACTGAAGAGTTGGAGAAAGAAGAAGACAGTGACATGGTTATGTTGCATTTAGTGAGAAGAAACAACAAGAGCTTTTACGACTTAGCTAAGATATATAAATCTGACAGAAACTGGTTCTATCGTGAAAACTTACCGATTTCAATGACACCGAATGAGCAAATAAAGGAAATTGTCAAAAATACTCTTCCTCAAACACACTATGACATCAAAGGTTGCACAATACTTACATTCAAAGAAGACTTAACATTACTGAAGGAAAAAATAACAGAATATTTCGATAACTTCAAAGAGGAAGAATAAAAAAAATCTAAGCTAATTTTATTTTTTTATAAAAATTTATCTCATATGAAAGAACATGAATTTAGAATATTCGGAACTCATGACAGAAGAAGAGAACGAACAACATGTAAAAGATTATGCAAAATTTCTGAAGACATACAAAGCATTTAAACAATATCTAAATGCTTCTAAAGATTATGCAAAATTTCTGAAGGTATATAAAGCTTATGAAAAAGCGTATGAAAAGTTTATACATTGGGGAATTGTTGTAAAATATCGATATGAAGACTAACCAAAAATATATTTTTGCTTAAATAACGTCAGGGTCTATTTCTTCAACCATTTCACTTCCTTCGTCAATGTCAATAGAAGCGTCTTCAACCTTTGGTAAGAATTTCTGTATAACATCTTTGTTCGTTATTGTCTTCAGAGATGAAGGATAATATTTCACATTTGTTTCACCTTTCTTATATTCTTTCTGTCGGAAAGATTTAAAGCAATACTGAAGAAGTCAATGTTAGAGTTCTTTATGACAGTAAATGAGTATCTTTGACATTCACGAAGAAACCCTTTTGTTTCAAAACTACTGCTAACTCTTGTGAAGTATAACGTTTGCGGTCAATGACGATAGCTAATGGTCTGACATACTGACCAAACTTAGATTCTTTCACAACTTCTTGTTAAAGATAACATTAACGTTTGCAGCACCATTGAACTCATTCTTGATGGCAGTAGCGAGAGCATTGTATGAAAAGAAACTTGCAATCTTGCATGTGTTTCATTAAAATAAAAATATTAAATTATTTTGAAAAATAACTTAAAAAAATCTAATCTAATTTTTTCAAAAAATATTTTTTTATTTCCTACTAAAGATGTATCGGAAGTTGTCTAAGTTAGAACACTCGGAAATAAACAACTTCTTACAGAAGCTAAATATATGTTGCAAAGCATTACGCAACAAACAAAAAAGCACTCGCTGACATCCTCATGACTATAATGGTGCAATAAGTTATGATAGAATTCATGAGTTCATAAAGCCGCAACGCGGCGAGGACGAAGTCCATGCAAGAGCATTTCCTTTAAATGACGTTGCTATTGACTTATATCATAGACGTTCAGTACCTCATGAAGTAGAAGAGAAATGTTTGACATAACAAATGCGAACGTTGGTCATACTCGTAAAGCTCTTTCTCATGACATTCGTCAAGAGATTGTTTGAACTTACGAACTCAAACGTTGGTGAAACAAGAAGAGCTGTACCTCATGAAGTAAGAAGAGAAATGTATGACATAACAAATGCGAACGTTGGTAAAACACGAAAGAGAGACGACACACTGAAACAACAGAGAAGAGAGATGTTTAAAAGTGCTATAGAAACAAGTTCGCAAGCTAACGATGTCATTCGTTCCATTGACGACAAACCAAAAAGAAGGTGAGAGATGGTTAAAGAAAGATGAAGAGAATAGGAAGAGAAATGTGAAGTGCAATAGACTCATTGACTTTAACATCGAAGCTGTTAGATGAACCAAACAGAGACTACTTACACAAACATTTCGGTAAGGTTTTCATGAGACTCTTAGAGAAATTAAAATAAACTCACAACAGAGATGGATGGTATGTTATAAACTTGGTGGAAAGTATGAATGTTCTACGTTAAACCTCTATAATATTGGAACATTACTACATCAGCTCTTGAAGGAGAACTTTTATATCAGAGATAGAAGCAAATGCTGCAGGTATTGTTGAAATGCACTATGACTTCTTCTTGACAACATAAAGAATCTTACCGAAATAAAGATGTATGATTTAACAGAATATGAAGGCTTAACGATGTCAGATGTAAAGAAAGGCAAACCAAAAAAGAGACCATATAGAGATGAAAGCACACTGACAAATGACCAGAGAAAGCCATTTTGGAAGCTCTTAAGCAACAGAAACCAGCACTTATAGAAAGCTTTTGGAAAGATAATGGTGAAAGAAGTTTTATAAGAAGAGAAGCGGTCAGTTCTGGAAGTATCTTTGCACATTACCTATAAATCTTGAACGCTACAATCTTCAATGAACTGAACAAAAGAACTGCAGCACTTATGACAGAGAGACAATTGTTTCGTTTATGCTTGCATTCAGGCTGGAGTAGATGGAGAGACTATTGACCACATGAGAGAAGTCATTCGTGTTA